GTTTGAAGGTTGGAGCATGTGTCAAGAGTGTGTGCAAATGTTTCACTGTGTATGAATTGGTGTGTGTCCCTTATTGTGCAGTGTAGGTGTGCAGACAGTAGTTAAGGCAGACTAATGAGGAATGAGGCTGAGCTCCTCTGTCTTAATGAGATCCTGCTGTGACTGACAGCCTTATTACCACACACTCCTCTGTCTTACTATAACACTGTGCTGCCTACACACACACACACACACACACCCACTCCCTCTTTTTAACCTATCCACCGGCACTCTTCTTTGCTCACACACACACAGAGCAGTCTGTCAAACACTCCTTTCTTCATCACTGTATTTCCAGAAGAATTAATTATTACTGAAACAGAAACAAATATGAATTGTTTAGCAAAGGTTCAACTGTGTTTTTTTTCTTACCATCTGCCAACAACAGGCATTTAGGCACAAACATACTGTACAGCAGCCTTTCTTTTTGGTTTCACTTTATTATTCAGTCTGACGTTGTGTCAGACTTATGTACAACTGTTTCCTGTTTAGGTTTTAACTGTTATTTTGTCCGTTTTTAAGTAATTATTTCTGTCAATTGACTTAAAACAACTTGTATACAGTAGTTGTGTTGATAACTTTTCTATTGGCATTTTTCTGCCTCTGGCACAGAAAAATGATGTCCACATTCTTAATCCTGTCTACAAAGCTTTGTTTGGCTCAGTTAATGCCAACCGGGAAAACAGCCGTCAATGAGCACAACACCAAACCAGAGTTGTTTTTGCTTTGTTTTGTTTTTTTCTCTCTCCACTGAGTTTGAATCAATTCTTCATCATAGTAGAAAATAACATTTTGTTTTGGCCATATTGGCTGTTAATTAACATTTATTTTACAGAACCAGTGTGTTTAGTGGTGCAGATTGCAGCCAACTGAATCCACCTTACAGCCTTCCAGGCATGTAGGAGGAACAACGGTGGCCATGAAACTTGTGAAAAACATGGCCCCATCTATAACCACTAGATATTATACAGATAGTGCACAGAAACTAATTGTACTTTTGCACCTGTTAGCATACACAAAAGTTATTAGTATTACCTCAGGAGCCCTTGCCTGTGACCTGTGTTTTAAGTCAGAGTGGGTTTGAAGCTTTGTGAAGATGTCTCCTTGTGTACATGTATCTTTCTGTCTGTGGTTTAGTGTGCGTTTGAAGCCGCCTCTTCAGCAGACCCTGCCTTTGATTGACAGACGCTTCCTGCGTGACCCTGATCCTTTGATTGGCAGAAAAATAATGGAGATGAGAGAAGTTGGGGGAGTGTGTGGGGGCAGTTGCTAGGTTGAAAGAGTGTGGGCGGTGATTGTGAAACAGGGAACGGTAGAAGGTTAAGGGAAAAATATAAAAAAGATTAGACGGAAATTGAATGAGCACTTCCTGCTCCAGTTTGTATTTTAATCTGCATCTGCTTGTTATTTTCCTCTTTACATTCAAGAACTGTCTTATGTGAAAGGGCACTTGTATTATCTTTAGTTTAGTCGGATGCTGTGTTTTCCAATTTCTGCAATTTCACTCTTACTTGTTATTTTTGTGGTGCTCCCTGTGATACATAAGGGTCCATGTTTGAAACGAGTGGTTTTGCTTTCATGTGCCATCGCTTCAGATGCTTTTTCACATATTTTATTGTAAAAATCAAACAACGGCTCAGTCATTCAGGAGATTGGCAAACAGAAAGTGAAACAATGCAAGATTAGCACAACAAGAAATGATTCAGAGCCTCTAAACTAGATAAGTGTCTGGTTATTTACAGCCTTTAGTATAAACGTACTTCTGACAAAAGCTTGTGGACAGCAGGACATTGATAAAACATCACATGTATCAGTAGTCTCTCAAGTGCCCAAACTTTGTGTGAGTATGTACATCGAGTATGGCGTGTATTGCATGCACACACAGGGTGCTTGTACTGATGTTGTTAAAGGTCTAGAAAACTACAGTATTTATAGCAAATGTTATATATATCTTAGCAATAAGATCATAATTAAAAAAATTAACAGTTAACAACAGACTCGAGTGAATTGTAGATAAGTGATTTTCACTCACTACTAATGAATTATTCTGTGCATAAACAAAAAGCTATTGGACTTCCAATCCAAACCCAAAGAGAGAGGATCTCTGTCCTCTCCAAAACTCTCCTCAAGTAAGAGAGCACAGCAAAATAAGTTAACTTTTTAAACTTTAGTAAATCTGTCATCTACAGTGTGCAGTAACTTAACAAGTTTGTCTAGCCAAGCCCACTATGTTATCAGCTGAATCATGCTACACTTGGCTCAAGGCTGGTAGTAATTCACCACTCTGCTAGGCCGGGGTATTAACCATAGTAGCAGTGGTAATAATGGCACACAGCACAGTGCATCCATCGCTCCATCCATTTATTTTCTGCTGCTTATCTGGGTCTGTTAACAGTGGCAGCAGGTAAAATAAAGTAGCTCTGATGTATTTTATCCCAACCACATACACGTTATCCTGGCTGCATGTGTTAGAATTCAATTCAATTCAATTT